TCAAAGATCAACTAAGGAATGTACAAGAAGCGTATCACACAAGTTTCGAGGCGCAAAACATATCTTAGAAACTATCAGAAGACTCATAATTTCTGAGACAGTTACGACTATCTCGGAAGCTATGAAGGCAAATCATAGTTTCTTAGAACACTTGTGGCTATCTTGAAAGTTATGAAGGCAAATCATAGTTTTTGAAACACTTGCGTCTGTCTCGAAAACTAGAGTGGACTTAGTGATAGTTTTCTCAAGTTTTGAGCGATCAACGTGGCTTCACAACTGCTTGGGACCATCCATAATCGAGGAGGAGACATTACAAGTGAAAATCACGCCAATAACTACTAAAATAATGGTATTAAAGCATAGTGGGAATGGTTACCAAATGAACATGAATGAACCATGTTTCCGAGACAGGCACGATTGTCTCAGAAATAGGGATTTTGTCGACTTGTTTTGTTTTAACTCTAGACTTTAGTTACGGTTCTTATGGGTTATAAATACCTTCCTAAGACCATTATATAGGAAGAGGAAGTATTATGGAGCAGGACGGAGCATTATTGAGTAGAATAGAGCAGAGATTTGAGCATTCTAAGCAAGGGAGAGAGAGAATCTTCATCACGTGCAAACCTTTCAGAGCTCTTGCGATTCCTTGAGATCTAAGCTTTGAATTAATCTCGAGAAGAGTGTTTTATCTTACTTTGTTAAGATATTTAATTATGTCTTTGTTTCTAAAACGAAACATCGACCTTAAGCCTTCTTCACGATTCAATTTGGATCTGTGATTCGGTCGTCCATGGGCTAACGCACCCCCAGCACATGCAAAGATCTCACGCAAGCAACGAATGATAAACGTTCCCGTGTGTGTTTCTAGAAAGCACTTGTAATCTTGTTTTGTTATAAATAGTAGTTTTACAAAGCATAAAGGCTCACTCTATTGTATTCATTGTAATCGATAATTAGTTAGAATAAATTCTACAATAAAATTTATTCCCGATGCAAACATCTGTCTGCAAGTGTATATCACTAAGTCCCATAATCTTTGAGTAGCTGGTATTGCCCATCTTTACATTACCAAAGTCACCAATTTTATATGACGTGAAAATGTCTTGATTGGAGGTAGCATAACATGTAGCTCATGTATCCACTATCCACTCGGAATTTAGACTTGTAACATGCATACAATCTTCTTAACATCGGTATCAGACAAAGTACCTGTATTGTCACTGTCAACTTTCTTCTTCTTATCTTTCTTTTCATCTTTGTTCCCAGCTTGCTTTTTCTTCAATGCCCAACAAGTCTTCTTGATATGACCTGGCTTCTCACAATAATAACAACCTCTCCCTTTGATCTATCCTTGGATGTGCCACGACGTCTTGACTGGTCCTTGTACCTGCCCCTGTTCTTCGCTACAAGTATCTGTGAGTTATCTGTGCTGGTAGAATTCCTCCGAGTGTTCTTATTAAATAAACTACTAGTAACAATACTCATCGATAATACATCATCTGGAGTTGCGTTGCTGACTGTCATGACTAGTGTCTCCTAACTGTCTGACAAAGAACCCAATAGCAATAAAGTTTGTAGCACATCATCGAGTCATCTTCATGGTAGATAACTGATTAATCAAACTCTTGAACTCATTCAAGTGTCCTGCTATGTTTCTTCATTCTTTGAATTTCAAGTTCACACCAACCGCCTCATAATAAACGCCTTGTTTCCCGAGGTCTTCTGCTCGTAGAGATCCTCAACCTTCTTCCAAAGAGACTCCGCATTAGTCTTACCCGATACATGACGAAACACACTAACGTCGATCTACGTCCGAATATAACCAATTGCCTTCTTGTATGTTTCTCCCATTCTTTATTAGTCATCTTTTCTGGCTTGGTTTTATCTCCCTCAATAGTGTCATGTAAATCTTTACAATACAAAATATCTTTCATTTTGGACTTCCATACTTGCCAATTGGAACCATCCAATTTCATCATTATACCAAAACTCTCTATCTTTTCCATCTCAAAGTACGCCTCAAATCAGAGCTCTGATTTCATTTGTTAGGAATTTTAGGGAGATTAATTTGTGAAATTAAATACTAAACAAATAACGACACAAATAAAAATGCCATAAGTAAGCAAACACTAAGATTTAATATGGTTCGGTAAATCATGCCTACGTCCATGGGGCAATCTAGAGATAAATATTTCACTATGAATTAAGAGTACAATCCCTCCAAGTTACACCTGAACTTGAAGATTAAATTATAAGAGAAAGATACAGTGTTACCTCTAGGGCATCAAAACCCTAAAATCCGTCTCACCAAAAAATCTCTAACTCTTGCAAAGAAATCAACACTGTACCCTCAACGGCATCATCGTTCTGAAGACAACGATTTTTGAATCACTGTAATCGGACAACTGAGCTATCCGGAATCTGAACGTTTCTCTCTCTCTCTCTCTCTCTCTCTCTCTCTCTCTCTCTCTCTCTCTCTCCCCCCCCTCTCCCCCCCTCTTTTTTCGGGTTACTATTCATGGTTACTGTTCACAAAAAAAATTAATTCTAGGGTTCTCATAAATAGAATTTTTCAAACCTGTTCCTATTATAACTAGATCATCCAAATCCTTTTCTAGATAGAATTTTAATTCATGTGAACCTCATGTGGGTCTTATCTTGGGCTGGACCTACAAGAATAATCCATCATTGGTATCTTTTTTCTTGTAAATGGAGAGTGCAATTTTAATTATTTTTATTTTATTATATTTTATTTCAACTAATCATACCCAACAAATCACTATGCTTTCTTTCCTCATCAATTGGCATCAAAGCCAAAGGATCCACCGTCATCTTTTTCTTTTCAGAAAAAAGAAAAAAAGCCTACTTTAGAAGCTCGAGTCAACACAAGATTGAGCGTTTGAAATCAAGTTAGATCCAAAGCCTTCGTGATGACACCAGAAAAAGTCAATGATCCTTTTTTTAGCATTTTTAATGAGGACATCAAATTTAAGGAAGGTGCAGCCGTGTCAAATTGGTTTAGTGCAATTCGATTCGATTTGTTTAGTTTGATCTTAGACATACAAAGTTAAAGAATTTCTAGCTAAAAGACAAGACTACTACTCCTTCAAACTTTTCACACATCTCATATCCCAAATCAAAAAGAAAACTCATAAAATCAGCGACTTTATAAACTAAAATCAAACATTTATGAATTAAGATATACAAAATATCATGAAATTAACTATTCAACTTGAACAAACATAAGTTTTAGGCAATTATATAGAGAATGGTTGGTTCGGTTATTTCAGTTTTAAATATTTCAGTTTTAAATTGAAGTTTTTTTTAAAACCAAACTAAACCGTTAAATTTTGGTCAATTTGGTCAGTTAATTGATTTTCTCTGAATTGTGCTCACCCCTACTTAAAAAAGAATATAAGGCCAAAAGAGAAATATTCTCTATTAACCAACAATAATCTATAATGAGAATTGCTATGTATTGTGCTTGTGCAACGTGGTATGAAATGCTAGGCTAAGAAATAGAAACCATCTCAACAAAATACAATTAATATTATACTATACTGCAGATTGCTGTGCAGAAAGTTTTAATTGCCTCTTATATCCTCTCAATCTTACTAATGTTCAATTATCCTTATTATTAAATGATTAAATGTCAACTTATGTTAAAAAAAAGATTGTTATCAAATGTAAATTAAAAATTTTTGATCAAAAATGTAAATTAAAAATTAAATTCTATTATGTTATAACTAGTTTTGTGATTATTTAAGTTTTATATTATCTAATAAAATTAAATTTTATTAGATCTAATAAAGCTTACTGTCTCCTTATTAAAAATTTCCAAAGATTTATTCTGATATCCATTGTTTCCCCTCAAGTCACTTCATCATCCTTATGCGCAAAAAAAAAATATATTCAAACATAAAACAAATATGTCCATACTAGTAGACCGGCTAAATATCCATATTGGTATTTTAATTCCACCCCATTTATCAAGAAGGTATTTTAATTAGGCAAACTTGCTTTAATGCATTTTAATTGATTCAACTTACCAACAAGACCTTTTTCCTCGCCGGCGACCAATTTTCCGGCAAGACCTCGTCACGTGTGTGACACGTGATGACTTAAACTGTTTTTAAGCTGCTGATGTGGTTAAAAAATCACTAACAAAGATATATATTTCACTCTATTTCAAACAAATTCAATCCTATTTATTGAAAAAAAACCCCAACTGTGAAAACTCTAATTCTATCAAAACCACCAAAAGATCTCATAAGTATAAAGAGAATCAAACCTTCGCATCGGCTTCAATTTGTATCAAGTCGTCGTCCTCCAAAAATCACCTTCTGCATCAACTGAGGAACACCATCACATGGAATCCCTGTAATCTATCTCCTTCAACTGTCTCCTCCACGATTTCTCACTCTGTATTTCTCCCTCTCCCTCGCGTTCAAATTCTGAAAAATAAAATGTGCGAATCTGTCGTATTTTGGGTGAATTGGGATTTTTAGAGGGTTAATTCCCGCCTTTAAACATTGTCACGTTAGAAAATCCGTGCCACATCAGCAGCTTAAAAACAGTTTAAGTCATCATGTGCCATGAACGTGACGAGTTCTCGCCGGAAAACTGGTCGCCGATGAGAAAAATGGTCTTGTTGGTAAGTTGAATTAATTAAAATGTCTTAAAGCAAACTTGTTTAATTAAAATACCTTCTTGATAAATGGGGTGAAATTAAAATACTAATATGGGTATTTAGCCCCAGTAGACCACAAGTGCTATTACCATCAAATACAAGTTACTCTATACCCAATTTTTTCTCACAATGAGTTAATAGTATTAACAGCACAATACTAATTGCACCAAAACAAGGACAGATCACTATGGTAACACTATTAGGATATGATTCCAATGTAGAATTCACATCACAGAAATAATACGGCCCGTCTAAAAACGTGTGGGCCATGTAGCGAGAACAATTCGGCCCACGAAGCGACCAATAAAAATGAGAGAGTCCTGATTAATTACCTTCGTCGAGCGGAAGAGGAGAAAGTTCTAGGGTTTCAATTTCTGCAGGGTTTAGGTCGAAATTTGACAGAGCGAAAGGGGCGAGCATTCGATCAAATGGCTGACGAAGATTACAACGACATGGACATGGGGTAACCCTCTTTCGTTTTCTCCCTCCAAGATTTCTTCTCTGATTCCCTTCGTTTTCTTCGGTTTGCTTCGAGATTTCGTCGATTTTTCTAGCGGTTTACTGCTTTAATCGATTTCTTTTCAGGAATAAAACTGAGATGAACCTAAACCCAATTACGAGAAGGACAAGGCTCCAGCTGAATTGATTTTAGTAGGGTTTCTAGTTTTCATGGAATAGGTTATTAGTCCTTGTTGGAAGAAATTGTTCCAAAACTGAATTTTTGGTATGAAAATTTCTTGAATTTATGAGTATTTTTTGTTTTTCAGAAACCAAAGTAATTCCCCTTCAATTTCAATTGTCAATGTGTACTTTTCATTATTAGTATCCCCCTTCCTCAACTTAACCTTGACACAAATTTCCTGTTTTATAGAGTTTACCCTCTAATTATTCGGCTATTATTTTGTAATTCCTTCTTAGTTTTGATGATTTCTTTTGAATCAGTTACTAATTGGGTTAAACATAGTCTTGCATTGTAAGAATGTGTATGAAGAAAATAAATTGGTTTATGCATGTATATGTTTCTCAGTCACTTACTGGGTTAAAAAAAATTCTTTACTAACTCGGTTTGTACATGCGTGCACATGTCATCTATCTCCATCTATAGTTACAAGTTTATACCGGATAGATCATGCATGCATGAACGAGTGCATATAATGAGTCATCCTCGTCATACCATTAACCAGGTTCATAATTCAACAAAGTGACTCCTGTTAGCAAAAAGATTATTTTCAAAGTATACCATATCACGCTCTTCAATAAAGTTGTTGTTGGATTGCACAAAATTTTGAGTTAGTTACTAGGAAACGAGTAATGTTGTTGTCTAGGGCATATCCAATGAATGCACCATAGCAATTTTGGAGGGTAAATCTTGATTTCGTTGGGTTGCTATCTCAGCCAACTGTCTCTAGACTTTGAAATAATCAGTTCTCAGTGTTCTCCCTTTCCAATATTCATAAGGGTGACGTTAGAGGTGTTATGCGAAAATCGATTGATAATATAGCAATCTAGTACGAGACTTCTTCCTAGAGGTTTTCTGCTGCTCCCGAGATGAGTAGCATATAGTTCATCATGCCGATACTCCATGATAATGTTGTTTTTTTTCTTTTCAGCAGCCAGATTGGATTGAGGTGTATAGAGAACAATAATTTCATGATAATGCATGCCCTTGATAGAATTCAATCATTTTATTTAAAGTATGCTACACCTTAAACATATCTAAGATTTCGTCTTTGGATTTGACGAGATATGTATAACAATACCTGGAAATTTGGAATGATGTTCTATAAATGTGATGAAATATCTTCAACCACCACTAGTGAAAACTTTATTTGAGTCACACATCACCATGAGTGATTTAGAGGGGTTCATAAACTGTTTTGTGCTTCCAGCCATTATTGAAGTGAATGTTATGTTTGTTACGTATGGAGATCTTTGGTTTTAAGTGGAGATTAGGAGATTTAACATAGTTTATCTTGTAGAGTACCTGTATTGTTTGCATTACCAACTTATTACCATATAGTTGAGCTTTTTAAGTTAGCTAATAAATTGTAGAACATTTAATTTTGTTAAATTCATTTTATTTATCTGGGATTTTGGATAATCATGCCAATTGATGTTAGATTTTTCTTATTCATGGATGATGACCTGGCAACATCCCTTGTCAACAAAAATTTGTTAAGATCTTAATGTATGCTGCTTTGGATATTTGTCAATTGAGGATGTTATTCATTAACATGAAAAGTTCTTCTCCAGGTATGAGGATGAGCCACCAGAGCCTGAAATCGAGGTTTGAACTTAGCCAGATTTTTACTTAACTTCTGTGCTTTGTTTCTGCTCTCTTTTGTTCTCTAATGTATAGATTTGTTCTCTCTCTCTCTCTCTCTCTCTCTCTCTCTCTCTCTTCATATATATATATGTGTGTGTGTGTGTGTGTGTGAAAATAATGGATATGAGGTGACGGCTCATTTTAGTAAATGAGCTATCAAGAGATAGCTATGTGGTGAGGCCCACATTGCTAGTCACATCAAAAGGTGTGGACCTCACCAATCTATCACTTGCTAGCTCATTTAGCAAGATGAGCGGCCAGATCACACCCATCATTCCCTATATATGTATGTATATGTATATATAGGCGCGCGCACACACAGATATACATAGAGATATACATAATTACATATATATGTGTGTTGTGTGTGTATATATGTGTGTGATGTATATAAATACAAATATAAAAATATATGTATGTATTATATATATGTACATACATATACGCATAGATGTATATATTTATACATCTGTGTATATGTATATACATATAATTACATATCTGTATGTTTCTCATCTTTTTTTTTAAATGGACTAAATGAGTCATATAAATTCTAGTTTGCTTTTTTTCTTGGACACATACTGTTCCATAGATCATTAACGATCAATGTTAAAAAAACACATTTTAGAACACGTTATAACCCATTGTAGCACGTAACATGGCCAAAATGTTATGTAACACGGGCATAAAAAGCAAACTGCACTTACCTGTCAATTTAACGCAAAAAAACGTGATTTTTGTGCGTTATGGTTATGCGTTATATAGCCCATGTTATGTTGTGTTAAATGGTCTTTGTGTTTTGGACGCATGGCTAAATCACAACCGTCCAAAATCTAATCTCAGTGACTCTAAACCCAAAACAATACCCAGCCAAGCCCATTATCGTGATTAACCCTACGCCTTTCCTCTCCGGCTCTCTATCGAACCCCATCTTTCGCTGTTGCCTCCTCCTTTTGATTCATCCCTTGCTCTCATACTCATTTTTCGGCGCCGCCGCCTCCTGGTTCCTTTCCGCCTCACCTTCCCCTCTTCAACTGGTCGTCCTCTCTTCCACCTGCCGAATGGTCCTCTCTCCTCTTCGCTTCTCCAACCCATCTCCTCTTCACGTCCACAGCGAAGATAGGCTACAGTTGTGACTCCCGAGTCTCGACTACAATTTTGGTAAGACTTGTTTGATTGCTTTTAACCGAATGGATTTAATCATTTGATGGTGCTATTCTATTTAATCATTTGATGATGCTTTTTAGAAGAGTTATTAGTTATGTAGAACTATTATTAAGAAATTGTGATACTATATTCTATATTTGACAATGATGATGTTATGTTTGAAAATTTTGTTATGTATATGTAAATATGGTATGTGTGCACAGACCACAAGCACGCACCTACAGGCACAAGCACGCACAAGAGTTAATGGGTACCATATGTGATATGAGGGGATTCTCTTATGGAAATACTTCTCAACTGGTTTCTATCTGATGTTACTGTGTATAGGAAGGGGCAGAGATAGATGCGGAGAATAATAATGAAGATGTTCCAGATGATATCGTTGGAGGAGAAGCTGAAGACAAGGATGAAGCATCTGTTGAGCGGTCACGTAAAACTACAAAGTACATGACAAAGTACGAGCGTGCAAGAATTTTGGGTACACGTGCTCTCCAGATTAGGTATTTCATTCAACTTCTTTTCTTGTTAAAATTCCCATATTTCACATTCCGTTCATTGTTTTCACAATGTTGATTTGGGTTGTGCAGCATGAATGCACCAGTAATGGTGGAGCTTGAAGGAGAGACTGATCCCCTTGAGGTAAATACTGCAGAATATACTTGTTGCTTTGGGTATTCAAAAGGAAATGTGTCTGTTTTTATAGAAGTTTCTGGGTTATGTAATTACTTGCTTTCTCTAAGAGAGGTTCATGAAATACGAAGTTGTATTCCGTTCATCTGCAAGTTTTATGCAAACTAGTTCTGAAACTTGCAAATTGAATAGCACGTAACTGATTTAACCCCACAGTGTTAATGAGATCAGCATACTTGTTCTGTTAAAGCATGTTGCTTTTGTAATTTTATCATATTGTTTAATGTATAGCCTCGTTTTTTCATATTTGTTCTACGTGGCTAAATTAGAGTTTTGAGCTCAATATGTTAGATTTTGTTTTTGACAATAATCTTTTCATTGTATAAATTATCATTGAAATGCATGTATTATATTGGCATACACAAATTTCTTGATGTCAATTGTATGTATATAAATGGGTTTAATGCATTTTATGTTGGCGACTAAAAGAGTAGGTGGCAATAGTAAAACGAAGCATGTTCTATCTGGAGAATGCTTAGTGATGTCAAATGAATGATTGTGGAAACACTTGCATATGTGGATTAGAATTTAATGGGTGTTGGTGGATGGTGGTACTTCATATATATTTTTCTTCTCTTTAGCAGTCTTTAAGTCAAAGTCAATATTTTCTTTTTATTTTTTTTTCTTTTCTTTTTTTTACTTATTTCACTGAGCAGTTAACTTATTCTGATACATTAGTAACAGTTAAATTTTTTTCTTCTTTCGGACTAGCGTCCATTTTTGTCACACACTACATAGACCTTCTTGTTTTTTACTGTAACAATTGCTTATTCTTAAACTTCTTGAGACCTGCTTGATTTTATTGTTAGATTGCGATGAAGGAGCTGCGTGAGCGCAAGATTCCATTCACCATCCGACGTTATTTGCCTGATGGAAGGTAAACGTCTTAAATCACTTCTGGGATATCTCTTTAATGATTGGAAGTGCTAATCAACTGAAAAGATGCATGTTAGCATGATTCTGATGTTGGTGACACTTTAACAGCTATGAGGACTGGGGAGTTGATGAGTTGATAGTGGAAGACTCTTGGAAGAGGCAAGTTGGTGGGGATTAAGCTAGTTCATTCCTCTGCTTAAACGCTGGGGAATTTTATGGACTTTGAATCTTGTTTCTTAGTGCTTGTTCATATTTGTAGATTGTGCTAATGTTTTTGTTTGTGTACCCTGTGAATTGTGGAAACTGAGAAACCTAATGGCTTTTAGACTCTTCTGTAGGGCCCAAACTTTGTGGGCTTTTGCATTATCGAATCTTTGCCCTCTGCTGTCTTAGACTCTTCTGCTCAGCTTACATGCATGTATCAAAGGCTGATTGAGACAATGAGACCTTGATGAAGGTTATCAGTGCTTTGAGAGAATGAGAAAGACAGGTTATGTTATTGGGTACACTGGGATTGTGATATTCTGTGGAAAGCATCTAAAGTGGATTTCTTTTTTCTGCGCCACTTGCTAAAGCAAATGCGCCTTTGTGTGGAAGCAATTGTGCTTTCAACTACAAAAGATGTGTGTTCTTTTTTTGGTCTAAAAAAGGTAGCCATTTATGTACATTTGTGAAACTTCTACCTGGTTGAACTTTCCAGGTAATGTATTCATATATCATATATATACGGTAGATATGATATAATATAGGTATAACGTGATAGTATATATTATATAATATATATATTAGCCTAGGATTTAATGGGTACATATGTCATATGGAGAGGATTCACCCCCCTCCTCATATACAATGATCGTGGAGCGATAGAACTCCCTGACCAAAGTGAATAAAGTAAGGAGAGGAGAATAGCCTGCGTAAATAACACTTGGTGGAGAGATTGTTGCCACATCATTGTATATGAGAGAAATTCTCTCATATGAAAACATATGGATAGCACATCTAATAAGGCTTCAAGTAATGAGAATTAATGGGAGTATGCATATGGGTGCCACAGCGAAATGGACAAGAGGTCTTTGGTTTACACCCGCAACTTTCCTATCCAGCTCATTTTATATATATAATAATATCAATAGTAATATATGATATATATGAATACGTAGATATAGTATAATATATATATATAAAAGACTATAATGTGAGTAAATTACTATTAATTTTAAATTTAAATCAGTACAAACAAACATACATAAGAACATATATATTTTTGAATTAATACAAACAGAATATAAGAATTTTTTCCTGCCTTTATGATTTTCTCAGGAGGCCTTTTATATGATTTTTTTTTTAGTATTTTCTAAGCCATGTGTTTTCTCACTCCAAAATACAATAAGGGCCTGTTTGGTTATTTTCTAAAAAACCAAGAAATAGAAATGAAAACCAAGAAAGCTCAAAAAGTACAATTTTATCAATTTTCATCCCTAAAACTCACCCACAACATCTAATAAAAAAATTATTTTTATCCAACAACTCATCCACCACATCTAATAAAATATTATTTTCATTCAACAACTCATCCATCACATCCACCAAATCTAATAAATTATTATTTTCATCCAACAACTCATCTATCACATCTAATAAAATATTATTTTCATCCACAACATCACTCAACTCATCTCTTCTCATTATTTCAAATCACTCACATCATCCAAAAAGATGGTGACAACTCATCTCATCTCATTAACATTTCATTTCCACACATTTTCTTCCCAAAAGTTAGGAAAATAAATTCCTTAAGTGTGTATCACATCATGCAATAATATAATAACAGCTCATCTCATCTCATCTATTTTCTTATTTTTAAGAATGAACCAAACAAAAGAAAACAACATATTACAAGAAATAGTTTTCTTATAATTCATTTCCTTATTTTTTTCGTCAATTAAACAACATCAAAACAAGTTTTCTTAAAAAACCACTCACATCATCCTATAATAAGATGACAACTCATCTCATATCATCTCCATTCTTTGATTTTTTTCTTTTTTTAGCAAACCAAATACTCTCAAAACAATTCTTCTTAGAAATAGTTTTCCATTTCTTTGATTTTCCAATTTTTTTAGGCAAACAAACAGACCCTAATACATTGTGACCATGAAATATCTAATCTAATCTAAACTAGTAAATTACTAGGATAGTGAAGTTCATAAGATTCCTTGAAAAGGGAAGGAATGGGGATAAATTCCAGACTCAGAAGCGGACACCACGTGTCAACGAACTGTCCATGGCGAAAAAGATGGGGGACCCACCTTAGAAAATTCCATGCTATATAGTACTTGACCATTTGCTGAGTCTGTCTCAGGGAAGAGACGAGCAGAAGGAAGAAGCCAATCCTTGAGGTGAAATATTTTTTCTGAAGATTTAATCATTTTTCTTGAAATTCTACCATTAGTTGAAAATCCATCTCGAATTTTCACTTATTTTTTCATGATTTGAAGGAAATTTGATCTGGGTCGACTTCATTTTTTTTAATTTATTGTTATCCATATGGGTAGTTCTAAGGTCTCTGCTAAATTTTCCATATTTGGGTTTGTAGAGAAAAGGCTTAATTTTGGATATGCTTCAGAGCTTGAAGCATATATTTTGATGAGTTTAGGGGTATTGTGTGATTTCCCTTTGGAAATCTTCACCATAGCTCAATTTTAGGATTTGTGGTTCAAATGAGCAACACAAATTAGGGGTCAGATTAGATTTTGAGGATAAGCTATATGCTGGAGGAGCTTTATTGGCCTGAGATACCAAATGTATAGTTAGTGGAGGAATCATCCTCACAAATTACTTATTTATAGGAAGCAATATTCTTAAGGGGGTGTTAGTCAATGCAAAATGGGATAATTGTTAAAGTGGAATAATTTTTTGCTAGTGAGATATTTTAGTGAAGAATTACAGGAAAACAGGTAGGAACCAGCAGACAGACTGGCGGGGGGCCGCCAACGTGCACACAGGCCTACTGGGTTTCGGAGATGAAGGCGGTCGACCGCCGCGGTCGACCGTGATTGACTGTAATTGTTTTCTGCTCTCGGGTTTGGTGTTAGGTCGACCGCCGCGGTTGACCGCGAGACCTGCGCGGTCGCCGCGGTCGACCGCCGAAGCGTTTTGGCTGGGTTCAGTTTCCAGACCCGTTTCGTTTTGGATTTGTATAAATACCCTTTGGGTGTTTTTTAGGATATGCAAGGCATGAGTTTTGAGCAGATTGAGAGGGTTTTCTTTGGGCTTCTAGTCTAGGAGCAATTGGAGAGATTAAGAGTGAGTTGTTGAGGGTTTTGGTGAGAGATTGTAACCCTAGTTTGTTCCTCTTGATTTCTAATAGTGAAAACTCCCCCCTCCTTGTCCCGTAGACGTAGGCATCTTGTCGAACCACGTAAAACTGATATTTGATTGTTTGTGCTATTGATTTTTGATTGTGGTTTATCTTTTTTTCGACGATTGGTTTGGGGTCTCGAGGCACAACAATTGGTATCAGAGCTCTGGGCAACGCTTGGTCTTTTTGGAGGTATAGATCAGTTGGGAAGTTCATCTAGAGCTTCGATTGGTGATAAAGATTGGATCTTTGTGGTAAAGTTTTTATCTTTTTTTAAGTTGGATCTATTTTCTATTTGTTCCGTAATTATTTATTGGGTGCTTTGAGATATATGACCGAAATAGATAAAAGTGGGGAGGGTTCTTCTAGTGGGAAGGTCGTCCAAAGTTTGAATATACATTCTATGAAAATAGATGTGGAAAAGTTCAACGGCACAAATAATTTTGGACTTTGGAGATGTGAAGTCATGGATACGCTAAATACGCAAAATTTGGTAGATACGTTGGAGTTGGACGAGAAACCGGCCGACATTGATGATAAGGTTTGGAATAAAATGAATAGAACGACGTGTGGTGTGATTAGGTCTTGCCTTTCTCAAGATCTAAAATATGATGTGATGAATGAAACTTCGGCAAAGAAGATTTGGGAAATCCTAGAGGGCAAATATTTGACGAAGAGAGCGTCGAAAATCGTTTGCATTTGAAGAGGAGGTTTTATCGCTTCCAATTGAAGAAGGTGACATCCATTAGTGATCACATGAACCACTATACGAAGCTACTTGCAGATTTGACGAATGTGGATGTTATAGTTGAAGATGAAGACAATGCATTGTTATTATTGAGTTCTTTGCCCGACGAGGAATATAAGACCTTCGTCCTCACTCTTATTAATGGGAAGACATCTCTTTCGTATAGTGAGGTCACCGCAGCCCTTGTGAACTATCAAATTTGAAAGAAAGACAAGGAGACTTCCATTGAGCCGGTTGCTGGTGCATTGGTTGCAAGAGCTAGAAGCCAAACCATAGTAGGAGGTCGCAGTTTAGAGGGGGGCATCCTACAGTTGGTAAGAATCAGTGTGCCTTTTGTAGAAAGGATGGACATTGGAAAGCCGAATGTCCAAAATTGCAAGCCGTGAAGAATAAAGGGAAAGCTATTCAAGTTTCAGAGGTAAATATTGCCAAGGCTAGTGGCGATATTTCAGATTCAGATTCTTCGGGCTATTCGTGCCCAGCTCTTCCGTCAGTTGATGTTGCCGACTCCACCGAGTGGATGTTGGATTCTGGTGCTACTTACCACATATGCCCTAGAAGGGATTGGTTCTCCAGCTTTCAGGAGTTGAAAAGAGGGGATGCTGTTCTTATGAGTAATGATCACAGATACCCTATTGATGGTATTGGTACCGTTCGGATTCGGATGAGTGACGGGATGATCCGGGAGTTGGCTGATGTGAGGTTCGTTCCTCAAATGAGGAAGAACATCATTTCACTTGGGGTATTGGAGGCAGCAGGCTATAGGGTGACTTTGACGGATTCTCGCTTGAAGATCACATCGGGGTCCATGATTGTGATGAAGGGCGTCAGGAGAAGTAACTTATATTATCTGCTTGGGAGCACGGTGATTGATAGAGCGCTGACGACTTCTATGGCTAGACTGTGGTATTGTTTGGTGCTGGGATATATTGTTGGTTATACCGTGCACAGATTGTTGAGGAGTGCTATGACCTGTAGATTGAAGTCCTGTGAGCACATTGGGATGAGCGAGAAGACCGAGGTGGAGTTTTGCACTTCTATCCACCGATCGAGGGGTCTTATTGGAGGTGTTTAGTCAGGCATTGGGGGGCTTTCCGAGGAGACATCATCGGGAGGTAATCGTTATTTTGTTTCCTATATTAGGGATTGTACTAGGCATATTTGGGTTGCAATCAAGTCCCGTTGGTATAAAGCCCTAGTAGTCCGCATCAATTGGAGGAGGTGTATGGGCAGAAAGGTTATCACTCGTACTTGTTCTAGTAAGGATCCTTTTTGCATTGGTGCCGAGCTCATGACAGTTGGAGACACTTCAGAGGAGAGGAGACAGTGGGGCGACGTGATGAGATGGCGGATTTAGTGGGCCGTTCTTTTCTGGAGGAGGATCGGCGTTGGTTGTCGAGCAGTGGATTTGGTATTCGGGCTTCAACACGATTGGGCTATCTTATGAGGTTGCCGACTGCTGCGTGTAGAGTTGTTAGATCTGGTGGAGCTGCAACACGATTGGGCTATCTTATGAGGTTGCCGACTGCTGCGTGTAGAGTTGTTAGATCTGGTGGAGCTGTTTTAGATTTTGGTCGGCGTCAGATATTTGGCTACCCAGCACTTGGTCACATGGTTGATGTGAGATTGAATTCGATTGTGTATTTTGGATTTAGAGGCTCGTTCGGCTATCAGTGGAGAGCTTCTGAGTTTGGTCTGAGCAGGTTTGTCACTTTGGATTCTCGGTAGGTGGAGAGTATTGATCAGGTCAGAGGGATATCGCAGCGGGTGGAGGGTGATGCTACTCCACATTGGGTGGGGATTTCCTCACATACTCCAGGTTATTCTGCATTGGTTGGGATTCCAGCTGAGGTGGCACAGCATGGGAGTCATTTATTTATGGGTGCAAATGATGAGGTGATTGATTTGGATGCAGCTGGTGGATATGTTTTGGATACGACCATTGTTTCATCTCAGGTGGAGGTGTTGGACTGTTTTCAGTTTGGGGTCGTCGATGATGCTATCAGTCGCAAGTTGGATTGAGGGTCTTTGGAGGCCATTTGGTGAACTACGTAAAGGCTTGATTTCTTGGGCAAGAGGATACGTAGGCAGTCTTTATGATGCAGCCGATTTGGTGAGCGACATCGACATTTGGGGTGAGTGTTTGCACTCCCATTTGGGTCTTAGCAAGTGAGACATTTGGTGTAGTCGGTGTAGGCTCAGTCGATTTGGTGAGTAGACACAGTTGGTTTGGGGTTGAGTGTTCGCACTCCCGTTTGGGTCTCGACATGTTGTGGATGGGGTCCGTTGTCATGAGTCCGTTGCCATGGCGTACTGGATGTAGCAGTTGAGGTATTGTTTTGATCGGTGTCGGCTCAGTTTTTTTGTGGAAACATTCGCCGAGGTGGAGAATTGAAGAATTACAGGAAAACAGGTAGGAACCAGCAGACAGACTGGCGGTCGACCGCCGTGGTCGACCGCCAACGTGCACGACCAGTCTTACTTGGTTTCGGAGATGCAAGGAGGTCGGACGCGATTGACTGTAATCGATTCTGCTCTCGGGTTTTTGGTTCGGTCGACCGTCGCGGTCGACCGCGAGACCTGCGCGGTCGACCGCCGCGGTCGACCGCCGAAGCGGTTTTGACTGGGTTCAGTTTCCAGACCCGTTTTGTTTTGGATTTGTATAAATACCCTTTGGGTGTTTTTTAGGATATGCAAAGCAGGAGTTTTGAGCAGATTGAGAGGGTTTTCTTTGGGTTTCTATTCTAGGAGCAATTGGAGAGATTAAGAGTGAGTTGTTGATGGTTTTGGTGAGAGATTGTAACCCTAGTTTGTTCCTCTTGATTTTTAATAGTGAAAACTCCCCTCTCCTTGCCCCGTGGACGTAGGCATCTTGCCGAACCACGTAAAACTGGTGTTTGATTGTTTGTGCTATTGATTTTTGGTTGTGGTTTATCTTTTTCTCGACGATTGGTTTGGGTTCTCGAGGTACAACATTTAGTGGGATAAATAGGAATAATTTTGTGAAGCGGGATATTTTGATAAAATAACGAGGGATAAATTTTTATAATCATGAAATATATATTTATGCATTTTGAAGATATAAATACTATTTATGTATTTTGAACTTACTATTGTTGATTGACAATTGCTTACAAGAATGTTCTTTACTATTAAATAACTTTTGGTTAGACTATAAGATATTGACAATTATTATTATAATGATGGTCTAATGATGGTGATAACCATAATAAGAAAGAAGTAAAGAAAGAAAAAAAATATAAAAAATAAAAAATAACAAAATAAATATGAGTTCTAGTTTTTTACCACCTAGTTCTAAGCTAAAACTTGGAATAATTTGAGAGACTAGAACTCTCAATTTCGTATAGAAAAATGAAAAATATGGAATAATTTTGTACCATTATCCCAATTCTACTTTTGTTAGAGTTCTACTTGACTAACACTGTAAAATTTTATTCTAGTTTTAGTTCTATGTGACTAACACTTTAAAAATTTATCCCACAGATTATCCCAGTTCCAATTTTAAGTTCTATGTGATTAACACCTTAAAAATTTATCCCATAGATTATCTCAATTTTAATTTTAAGTTCTAGGTGACTAACCCCCCTAAGCACTAAGCTTGCCCAAAATGAGCATTGGTGAACATTTAAAGAATCTGAGGGTGCTTCTGAATTCTTGGTGAACCTTCACTAGACCATGAAATTTAATCAATATCACCATTCTTGTTGCAGCCACCGGGGCCTGGCTCATGTGCTTAGAGGATATAGTTGGGCAGTAGAAGTTCATAGGTTCAAGACCGCTTACTTCGTTTTGTTCAAAGAAGAAATTAAAATAAAGCTAAGGATAAATTGCACTTAACCCCCTCATCTATACCTTCAATTGCATGTGATACCCTTCAACTCATTTACTAACACTTGGCATCCTGAGAAGACATTTTGAGAAAGATAAATTTCAAGTAAATCATGATCGTCTTCCTTCTGGTATGGCAACATCGCTTTACACTAAATTGAGGGGGATTTAGTACATCTGAAATTATAAAATGAGGGGGTTATGTGCAATTTATCTAAAAATAAATAAACATGATCGCCTTCCTCCTGACATGACAACATCTTCACATCAAGCGATCCAACAACGATTGACTCAGAACAACGTGACACCTTGATTCAGAAAGCAATGTTGGGCTCGTTCATCTCTGATCTTTCCTTTTTATCTTCTCCGATTGTACTTCTTCTACCCCTTTCTCTTTATGCATGTTTTGTGTCTATTTTACTAGTTAATAAGTTTCATGGCATCTTGCTTCGGTTACTAAAAAAAATTGTGGCAGTGATGTTGCTACTCTGAACCATGTACATGCTTGCTTGGTTTGATCAAGTTTCAAAAATGATGTCTACAAAAAAATTAATACCATGATAACACCTGTCGAATGTACTATTCTTCTGCATTATATTGAGGCTGGTAAGTTGTACCGGTTGATGATGAATTCAGTTTACAGATGATAACTTTTTTTTAGTAAATATAGATCAACACTTGTATTGCTTAGAAGAAGAATAAAGATCATAGAAGAGAGGACTCAACTAGAAATCTGAGCATCTAATAAATGACCTTTTCTCTTTTAAGGGTCTTGGTAAACTTGCAAATTGTACAATATCATACAAACCAGTAGATGACTCCTGTGATCAACTTCTGGCTATCTAGGTGTTCGCGAATTTTGTAGTATTGTCTATATTGTATTTAAAATTCTTTGACGTTGTAATTGTTTTGTTCCCTTCTATGATCCTGAATCCTTGGTCTTCGTTGTTTAAACTTCTTATTTTCTTTTTTGTACATAGTATTAACAATGACTTTCTAATATTTGGTTTGAGGTACTGCTTAATAATAACATCAAACTTATATAATACAACAAATTTTGGGATTTGTTTGACATTAGTCCTTAAATCTTTCACATTTTGCAACTAGTCCTTCAAAATTTTGAAAGTGTTATTAGGTCCCCCACTTTTACAGGTACTTTGAAATTAGTCTCTGAAATGATTGAAACTGTTATTAGGTCCCCAAACTTTAAGTTTTTTTGAAATTAATCCCTCCAATCAAGTGTAGAAGTAACGATTAGAGGGATTACTTTGAACGATTTATCACAACTGAGGGACCTAATACAAATTTCAGTGGTTTCAGGGACTAATGTCAAAATATGAAAGATTTTGGGGGATTAATATAAATTTAAAAAAAAACCCTAAATGTAATTCTTATAAGATTGAGAGTTAAAACTTCAAAGAAATGTCAACTTCTATTTCAATATTGATAAGTATATCGCTAGGCTGTTGCTTAATGGTCCTAAATTTATTTTCTTGTTTTCCTTTTTCCGACTAGGTGTCCATCATGCGTGTAGAACCTGATACAGATGGAAAAGAGCAAGTGAACGTGCATTATGTAAATAGCCCTGTCCCTTGTGTTGTTGAAGAAAATTTTGGAGGGTATTACGGTGATCATGATGACTTTGTGCTTGAGGAGGATCTTCAAGATCAGGTGTGTTTTAGATTAAATCTTTTGTTTTATGATATAAGGCTGTGTAGTTGGAGTTTAACAGAGATTTCCTGCTTATCTACACATCTATCTGTATGTACTATACTAATAAAGTAGCTGCCATTGGTTTGAAAATTGCAACCATTGGCACATAATTAGCTTTGTGACTTCTCATCTTCTATACGACTATACTATTACCTTTTCTTTTACTTCTCCCCATGCATTCTTTCTTTTTCTCTATAGCATCTCCATCTGAAATTAACATTAAACATTGAAAACATCTGACATTATTCATTCAAAGCACCTCCCTTGGAGAGTAAACCTACGTTCCAAGGCAGCAAGTTGTCTTTGTTACAGACTACCAAGACACAAAACCAAAACAAAAGGATTACATACAAACATTGTGTGCACACCTAAGAAAAATTGCACTATAGAAAATACAGTTAGTGACCCCTCATATATGCCATACCCATAGCATCCTGCCATATAAGCTGCTGAACAATCAAAGGAGTCTCGGATATATCAAAACGTTGTAATATTTACTCCATTGCATCGCACCGGTAAAATATACTTGCTGAATAAATTGGCAACCATTGGATACTTATTAATGTTACAGTAGCATAACTATAAGATACAGATACTCATTGTTAACGTAAAACAGTGTATATTCATAAAGCTTGCTGACTATGATCTATAGATAGATGCTCACATGTATAGGCATATATGCATGTAGAGGAAAGGTTACAGTGTATAATTGATGGAACAGTTATGATTTCAAAGTTTCCTGAGAAAAATGTATTGTGGCCCTTTCAAATTGGTGATCCCAACTGTTTATTATATTCTACTCACCTTAAAAAAATATAAACAAAAATCGAGATGTTTTAAAACTTAACTTCTATACTTATGGATTTATGATGCATAACCCATTTAGTTTGAGACCCTGTCGCAAACAGCTGATAAATTTTAGCACAACTTTGTTTTATCTCAACATATATTTATGATTCTGGATCACAATCCTTGTTGCCATCCATAAATTGATGATCCTACGTGTGTGGGAATCCTTGCATCAGATTGTAAATGCTATAACCTTTCCCATATATATTCTTTTATCAGCAAAGAAAGCATGCGATCTCCATAATTTCTGATGCAATCAGACATAGGAAGAAGCGAAATTGACAATTTATAGTCTAATAAGCTAGAAATCTGTCAACTTGGAAAAAATTTAGAGAGAGGTACTGAGACAAACAGCGCCTCTCAACTCTTAGAAGAGTAATTTTTTTCTTTTTGTGTTGGCTCAGTATGTGTCTGATCTCAAATGAAAATATAAATGAAAGAAAAAAAGAAGTGAAATGAAACATAACTAAGTTCCCACATTTAGTTGGTAAGAGTGTTGGCTGGTTGTTGTTTTACATCAGCAATTTGATGATCCCATATATGAATCAGCTGAACTTTGCATACTCAATGCGATATGGATAATGGCATCATTATTGAATTCTCTATTTAGTTTTGAGATTTTTGTATTATTTGACAATATCTCAGTGTAAAAGTAATCTACCGATTTCCACTTGGGGGAAAAAGGACAAGAAATCGCTGAACAGGGATGCTTATATGATGTATATGCAAATGTTTTGCAGGAAACTATCTATCTGTCATTGCAAAGGAGCAGTCAAAGGAACACTCAGATAAATGTACCCAGAGCTTCTTCAACTACTAATTTAAGAGCCAATCAGGATTCTGGCTCAAGCAGGGAAGAAAGAAATTCTTCAGAAACCATGAATGTTGAGGTACAGCTAGCAGTGGATGAAGCTTTAGCTAGAGAGTTACAAGAAAAGGAGGATCAGTTTGCTGGTACTTCTGTCGGTGAAACGGCTGGGATGGAAATAGGTATGACTGGAAGGCATGTTCAGAGTTTTGAAGACTATTTTATAGCTATGCAAGGAAGTTTGTGAAGTTGTTCTTGTTGATTCCTTAATTATGAATCTATTTTATTTTGGTTAGACTGTTCATAGTTATTTCTTCATCTCATGTCAGAGGAAATGAATATGGTGATGTGGTACTAGAGAGTTAGTTCTTCACAGGTTTTTTTCCTTATATTTTAAAATTTTTGGGAAGGGGGTGCTGTAAAAGAGTAGGAACACCAACCCCTCCCCCTCTCCAAAAAAACCCAAAAAACAAAAAAACAAAAACATTATAGTTATGTTCTTATTCATCTTCCAGTAGTTAATCCATGGATATTATGTATTACACAATTAGGGTAAATTATCCCCTATGGTTTGTAGGAACGCAGAATATCCCCTTCAGGTTTTAAAAAGTGTCATTTTATCGACAAGAATTACCTTTCGGGTTTGTCACTTATGCAAACGGAAGGGGGATTTTCTGTATTTATTCGCATGATTACCTTAAAATAGCTATAATGAAGTATGTAATTATTCTAATTTCTGAATTTTTCCTTGTGTGGTCTTTAAAGAGGGTAGCGGTACAGAATCTTCTGCAGGAAATGGAGAAGGCATTTCTACTGAAACACCGGCTCAGGTAAGACGCATTAGCTGCATTTTGCCAATTCATCTTCTTGTGTCGCCAGTCACATCATATAATTGGAATGACAGTTCCTCTTTCTGTCACAGGTTGCAAGAGAAGATGTTGACCCGGATAATATGACCTATGAGGTAAAGTCTATATGCAACTACTGCAACAAAGAAAATCTTGGTAAAATCTCTGAAGAATACAAGATGATGCTGTAGGTTTGAATATTTTTGATACTTACTTGTTTCGAGGTTTATATACACAAAGGTCTCTATTTTGTCCAAGAACTAGATCAGAGTTCATCTAGGTTGCTATGATCATCAACCAAAAAACAAAAACAAAAAAAAAGGAAAGAAAAAGAATGCCAAAGGTTATGTGGTTCACTAAAGTAGTTGTACAGCAAAGGTTTTGGAGAACGTTCCACTTATTAGGAGAAAGAGTTATAAAAGAGGCTCAGTCTATTCTCACCAAAGCTCTTACAAATATACATTATCTTTTTCCAGAAAAAGCACACACCTGCAAGGCTCCAAAACTGGGAATATATATAGGCTAAATTACCAGATTGGTATTAAAAATAGCACCTACTAACCAGATTGATATTAAAAGTAATTTTGATGACGATAAGGTATTTAAAGTTGCATAATGAGACAAATAGGTTCAAAAGTAAATTTTCCAGCCATTTGCCTTGCGACCACACAAGATACCTGCTGCCTATGCTTGGGTGACATATTTATGAAGATGTAACAACTTAAGTTAATCTCATTGAACCCATTAAAAGGAGGAATTTTTAAATTAGAGTAAAAGAAGAGACTTCTTTAATTTGAAATTTTTTTTCTCCTTCTTCCTTCAAATTGGGGGTTTTTCATTGTTTGAGCTCAAAGAATCTATGTTCTCCAGCAACGGAGAACCCCCAATTTAATAGAAGAATGAGAAGAAGCCCCTAAATTAAAAACTCTCACTTTTCTTTTACACTAATTTGAAAATAATTTTCCTAATGGTTTGAATTAGGCTAACTACAGCTGCTACGTCATTGTAAATACATCTCATAAGCATCTCATGACAGATTATGTGACTGGTCAACTGAAAGTTTGCCCGAAAAATTTATTTTTAGGTCAATTTGTCACGTCATGCAAGTTTAAGTACCTTATCATCGCCAGAATTACTTTTAATACCAATCTGGTTACTAGATGCTATTTTTAACACAAATCTGGTAATTGTATTTGTATATATATATATATATATATATATATATATATACATACATACAAATTCTTGACAAAGCATTAAATCCTGACCATGAAGGACTGGTACAATTAGAGTTAAGAATATTGTTAAGTCGCACACTGTCGATCGCAGTTTGGAGTGGAGTTTACTTGCTGAACTGCACCCTTAATAGACTAAGACCAGAAATCCAAGTCTGAGGAGGCTTCTATTATAGCCTCATGCATGAATATCAATTGTATGCATGTATTTCTGAATGCTATTAGGAAAGCAATTAATGGTGTCTGAACTCATGGTCCACCTGACTTTTTTTATTAGACTGTTGACATGCATTAGACCTCAAGAAGCAGCACACATGTAACTAAATCCAGCATTAATTGAGGTTCCCTTTAGTTATCACATTTACTCCTTTGTGTGACTTGGTTTGTATGCAAAGCCCAGCCACTATTTCTATTTGGGCTTGCCTTAACTAGATATAAGCCAAGATGGAGATTAGGACTGTCTCGCATCCATTAAGTTTTAAGCGTGACTTTGAACTCATACTGAAAAGATGTTTTGAATATATTTTTTCATGACTCAGATATGGTTTAACCTGAAGTTAATTCTTTTGAGTTCATGTGGATCCAAATAGACTAGCAATTTAGCATAATTCATTTCTGGTCATGGGCATGCAATACAACAATTAGTGTGAAGAACGGTATCTTTTTCTATTATCAAGAACGAGCCGACAATTCAATAATAGGTACACTTGCGTTGGCTTTTTATGTGAGAAATGAAACCCTTGGACCATGGAAAATCAAATTTCTTGTTATTTGTTTTGTATTTTCCTAGTTAGTTATGGTTATGTTTGATAACATCTCATAAAGTTTTTAATTCTTATTTTAGGAGCTGCAAACATTAACTGAAGCCATAGGTACTGAAAGCAGAGGTTTATCAGAGGAGCTTATATCCTATTTGCCATCATCTACTTACAAAACAGGACCATTTTCCAAAAGAGATGAATATGAAGAGTATGTTGCCACTAGATTATTATTATTTTTTTATCAAATTGAATTTCTATGTTATTTATATAGTTGATTAGGTGCTATTGTACATTCTCTGCCTAGATTTTCATTATACTCATATGTGGGGCATTAACATCATGCAAGTTATTAGGGTCTGTTAGAACATATGCTCTCTAAACGATAGCATTTCTATGTGTGTCCCTCAATCGATTATGCCACATAAGTTGTGTAATACAAAGAAGCACATCTGTGGAAAAAATGAACTCTGAAAGTACAGTTCCTGAATATTGGAGCCTTATAAACTTGGGTCGACAGGGAAATGTTTTTTCTGTACAGTGTATTCTTTACAGATCTGCATAATCCACTTTCATTAACTCGTTTGGTCTGGCATAAAACTCATTATAACTAACATCACATGCCGAGCATCAACAAACTTCCTGTGTTACGTAATTTGCAATATCATAGAAACCATTTTAACAAATGGGGCAAAAAAAATGATGTCAATAAGATAAACCGATTTTACATGTGACTGGCCATTTATTCCGCAATCTTGGTAAGTTGCATCTATAAAATTATAGGGGAAAAAGAAGAGTAACTATAAAATTGTCATTGGGACAATCTCTCCATTGTAATTGATGATCAAATTGCTAGTATTGACCATCTTTTTGTTCATTAATCGAGACTGTTATCATGGCAAGGACAACTAGACAAGGTTATTATCTCATTTGGATCTCTTTTGTTGTTACATCTCATCTGCTATTATTGAGTTATGAACTCTGACATAAAGAATTTTAGCAGCAAATGTCTGCATTAATTTAATAAAATCAGATAACACTTGAACATTTGATAGAACTGTGGGTGAGCATCATCAGTTATACTTATATTTCTTCTCCATTGCAAATACACTAGGCTGTTTACTATCTTCTTTTGGCATTTTCTGTGCCCTACAACGACAACAATAAAACCTTTATTCCAAATTTTTGGGTGGGCCAGATGTATCCTATTCTTCAGTTTTGTTCTTTTTGGGGCTATCTTCTCGTTAGCCGCTATTGCATCCTTCGTAATTGCTTCGAAGCAAATTCTTTTAGGTCTACCTCTAGTCCTCCTTGCTCCATTAATTATGTTCTTATCATCTATTCGAATTGGTGTGTGTTTTTGCCTTCTTTGCACGTGGCTAAGCTAATCTCAATCAATTTTCTCTTATTTTATTCTCAATAGAAGCTAATCTCTAACCTCTTATTTTATTCTTATACTACTTAGTATATATCCACAAATCCATTGCAAGTTTGCAACACTCTTATTGTTTGCACTTACTATCTTCTAATTGCCCAGTGTTCTGTTCTATGAAGTAGTGATCTTATAACCGCCTTATAGATTGCAGGAAAAACATAGTTGCATGAGCTTGGTCAGAATTAGGAAAAATTGAGGAAAGGATCAATTATCTTATGTGAAGCACTGGTGGCATATTGTCTTTTATTTATTTTTTTCCCATACATCTTTAATTTCCATTGAGATCCTTAAAATGTTGAAACATTTTATGTTAGCAGTTCTTCTACATAACAGCTCCGAAATGGGATATAATGTGTTCATATATGCATATATCTAGGTGGAGTACTACTTAGCTTGGCGTTATCGATCATGCTACAGAGCATAGGTCTGGCAACAATTTGTAGGGAACATTTACAAAATATTTAATACATAATATTTGCATGTAAGCAACTGGAATTAATTTTTCTCACTAATGTGCTTAAGCGAACATGTGCTAGCTGTATGTCTTCCATACAAAAGGAAGATAAACATATCACAGAACTTCGTTTTCTAATAATTTTATTGACAATCCTTATAGGCATTTCGATTACTTAAATTGGAATTCAATTCCATCAGTTGGATATTGTCGCATAGTTTTTTTTTTATTACTGAATGCACACAACTGCCATTTTGTGTTATTTCATCAAGGATCCTTCTAACCGAGGGGAAAAAAAGCATATAATGGATCTTTAGATTGTTAAAAAGAGATTCAGGTTCATCGGATAGGTGTCTCGCATTGTTTTATTCAACATTATCAAGCTGAGAGAGATCATTTTACCCCTGTTGCAGTAGCAGTCTTGAATGTTTCTGATTGATGATGTTTGTCGATGCAGATGTGTGATATGTTACATGGCTTATGAAAAGCATGACAAACTAATCACATTACCCTGCCAACATCTATACCATAAACATTGTATTGCTCGTTGGTTGAAGATAAACAAGGTACTAGAATTTTGGTTCTTACAGTTTTTTTCTCTTTTTTTAGTGATATAGTTTCTAGCATTTACCCTTTTGTCTTAGATGTTTTATTTAACATTTTAATATATGTTGATGTTTGCCAAACAATTTCACCTTTCATAGGACATTGCATACATGTGGTACAATATTTGTATATATAATGGTATTGTCCATGTCAATGATCAATGAGTGGGTTGAGATTCTTTTCTTAACAGAATATGCAAAATATAAGTACCAGTCTCAAGTGAAGTTATCCATAAATCTTAGGTTGTTAGGTCTTGGATCTACATATACTCAGTGCTTAACGGTCCAGCGCCTGCTAGAATGAGCTATTTCACATGTGAAGACAGCATAAAAGGGAAAGAAATAGTTTCTATAATCTTCAGTATGTGATTTTAACCTGGAATATTTCGTCATATTTGAGTGCTCTGATACTATATCACTAACCACTAACCCAAAATTTTAAACTAACAAGTGGCATGTAAGAATTATGTTAAGTACTTCACCATGAAATGAAACTGGAATATAACCTCTTGTATTTCATGCACGTATGTAAAATAAGAGCACATCAAAATATGGTTTAACTACTAGTGGGGCACGCACTACGACTCTTTCTAGGGCTTACTATGAACTGTGGTTTAATGTTCATGCCATGTCCGTATTTTAGTTCTCGAGATTTTTTATCCTATGCATAAACTGATTTCGCATATAAGCTATAATTGGCCTAAAACTCATATTTGGCAGCTTAAGTAGGCATCTAATGTGCATTAAGACTGAGGATTTGTAGGTACATCATTCTTTTGTACCATTTGCAATTGAGATCACTCCAGCTCTATTTCATTATTGCTATATCTAATATGTCACGACATGTTATTGGAAATTTGACATGCACCCACTCCCGCCTCACACACACAAACACCCGCAAAGCACATACGGATGCATGCGCCCGCCCATCCGGACACCCATGCACGCGCATACGTCTGCGCACACACACAGTGCACACATGCATACACATACCTGCCTACATGGACACACGCCTGCACACAGCCCTCACATATATCCGCAAGCACACACACTGCGCACACATAGGCACT